TGGAGCATGGCGGATGCGATGGTCATCTCGACCTCTCTCACCCAGAGCAGGAGATTCTTCCCATCCTTCCCCTCGAAGATCTTAACGTTCACCATGAGCGGCTTAAGGCGGGAGAAATTATCCGTCACTGACGGTGGTGTCATAGACGCAAATGATGCAGACATCTTCCGCTGCAGGTGCTCTATCAGAACGTTTTCGTAGTTTGAAAACGTCTGTAGACGCGCACCGATTGCCTCGGGGCCTTGCGCCGCAAGGTGTTGCACGCCCTCAGGGCCCAGCAATGACATCAGCTTGTTAAGCCGTCCTGCATGCCCTGGGGCAAAGAGGACAATTGTTCCATCCTCACAGAGGATCAGTCTAAACAACGCAGGTGTAGATTGACTACAAGTGCTACCAAGTGCAGGCTTTGCGCTTCGAGGAAGCGTAAGTAAGGTCACTAACCTTTCGTTCTATACTTAGAACAAGTACGAGTTTAGCAGATCGCAATCCGCTTACTCCAAGATTAATTATTGCCTTGGCCCAAGGCTAACTAACTCCTCGGTATAAGTTCAAATCTGACTTTATTTATTTTTATCTGCGGCAAAGCCGCCAAATTTTTAATGCATAGATTTTCCTTAATATGTATAATAAGATCTTAATACATGTATAACTACTGGCTATCCAGCCCGTGCCATATTCTTGTTTGGGTGTGGTCACACCATGCCCATCTGGTGTGACCCCCTGTTACCACGGTATATGTAACCCCGTTACAATGCAAATCTTCGAAGAGTGACCTAGAAACTTCATCTGTTGCAAACTATCTGTTAGCGTTTACGTGTACCACAATTTCTAATCACCCTGCGTCGTTTTGTGGATGGTGACTAACCTCGAGTGGTGCTAAATTTATAATCTAGTTTGTTGTATCGAAGTCTGAAGAAAGTAGTGGTAGAGAGTCAAAACCCAGACAGAACACGGTAGATAGGACCCGCTTCTGCCCAAAGCCAAACAATTTTCAATATTGCTGAAGCTGCAGCACTCAAATTGCTACTCCGTTGCTTTTGAACGGGTTTTTTGTGACCAAATGCTGTCGGGCACTAAACTTCTTCCAGCTCACTGCAAAAATGCTCTTTTCTGTTTCGTTCCTAGCGAGATTCATACGGTAATCGCTCGCATCATGCGACTGTGGAGCGTAGGTCTCTTGCCAAGAAGTCTGGTCCTGAGTAATCTCAGCAGCAAAGTTAACTACTACCAAAAACTTATGCTCAAGCTACAAGTGCAAAGTTGATGCAAAACATAGCTGAAGAGGACAGTCGAGGGGTGGAGAAAACGGAGGAGCCGGCCCAACAGATAGCTCAGCATGGCAATTCGTTAGCTAAGCAGCACCGGCGAAGCCACCAAGAAACTCGAACGTGTCCTCAATTGCCACGTTTGGCGACTCACAATGCAAAGTTACTTCGCCTAATAATCCACCCTCAAATTACATCTTCGATGTTGCTTTTGATAAACGGAGACGATGACTTCTCCTACGTTAGTTACGACAAGAATGAACCGACAAACGGGATCAATTCTTCCAACATATTAGTGAAACAGCAACTACTACCTGTGGGTGATGTTGCCACGATAAATTACTTTCAGGTGCTGCAGTCAAGGGTCTCTTTCGGAGTAGAAATCGTGGTCACGAAAAAGGGGTATGGATCTTGCTACCAATTGATTCCTGTCGATATGAAGCACTCACTGGAAAACAAAATGTCAGCTGGATCTATTTTTTTCGTCGAGATGCACACACAAAGATCAACAAAATCATCACAAGCGTGTCAAAATTTTGAAGTGTTAAAAATTAATGTTGAACGACGAGTACACTGCCCAGCTCAATATTTTCCTTAAGAACCTACTGTCTTACTCGAGCAGATATTCAGGTTGAAGGTATGACCTAGATAACAAAACCGGATCAGATCATTAAGAGGGCCGTCGGCACATTGCTTGCTTTCAACAGCGCTCTGTCGCTAAGGAAAAATGATGCTGGACATGTCATTCCAGAGCTTGCGTAGCTACATGTGATTAATCATGCGCTAAGTGCTATCAAATTAAGCAAATATGTCAAGTTCAGTGCGAAATTGAAAAAGCAATTGAAGACGTGTGTCACGTAATATAGCTCATCGGATCAGCTAAATGAACTTTATCGAGCGACGAAGCACTTGGCTCTTTTAGCTCATGCTGATGTTGATTGCTCCAAAGATTTTCATCATTGGTCCCTAAATACATTACCTTACTATTCAGCTAGTGGGGTATACCCTTACGAGCTGCACACGGCCTGTCCACTCCAACAGTCTCCTCATGCTCTTGCGGTCGAGATTAGCTCCACTGCGTACAGCAATGGAGCGAAGATATTAGCAGGGTTAATTGCTCGATGACCTGGAAGAGCCGCGGAAACTTGATGGGTATTGCCCGAGCGCGACAAGTCGGTATTGCAGCTCTGATTTGTTGAGAAAGAGGCGGTGTTAGTAGCATGCCGTTTAACCACCCGCAGAAAAATTATACTAATCAAACATTTTCTGGAGCAATACAAGCGTTCTGAACGTCAACACTCATGACATACAAAAGAACGGTCATATAATTTTCTACAGCGTGCTGTCAAAACACTCGGTAGCCTGCATACAAGAGATTAAATCTAGCGACCAAACAAACTGTCCAATTTCAAGTTCCAACCTGACCTAAGCTACAAACATAGTCTTTGTGAACGTTCCAGCAATCATCTTGTTCGGTAAACGCGTGGAAGACGCAATGGAGTATTCACGGTGCTTTGTTCCGATTTCCCAGGCTTCTAGACGGAGTAAAAATCGTCTTAACGGTCCATTCTTGATTGGTACATCGTTGTGAAGGTGTTGTTGAAGGTATCCGTTCTACATTCTTATCGTGTATGCGCCGGTAGATTACCAGTGGAAACAACAAATTTTTTTGTGAATGTGTAAGAAGATCAGAAAATGCATGGTGTTGGGTGATCTCCAGACACCAAAGTCTACTCAGCATCTCCCGAATTGCGCTACAACCTCAGTCGATCTACCCGAATTTGATAGCTGGCAAAACCGGATATTGTTGATGCTTGGCAGATTACGATACCAAACGAGCCTTCACAGGCCCAATTCCGAAATTAATGCCGTTTGGACAACATCTTTCTGTCAGAGGCATTTTGTAATTCCTCCACGATGACTCCAAAGCTCCCTGCCAAAGCATTTTTGCGAGCACCTCACTTACAGCGTGAGTCTCAGGTTCTCAGCTGCATGGCAAAGGGTACAAACGTTCTCTTACATCTTCCTTGATTACCTACTAGCGCTATCTGCGATCGAGAAGGAAGCAGAAATGGTCTGTGATCGTTTCACAAGACGCATATACCGTGGACGGCGCCCGTACCGCACTGAACCAGGCTGCCGTGCGATACCGCGCGTCGTCGGCCGATTGCAACCGCGAGATTTATGATGAAGACATGAGGAACAACTAAGAGGCAGTCACGCGAGCTAGTACAACCATAACACTGCTTTCAGCTTTCAAGCGGCCAGCAAAAAATATATTATTTATCACTAGTTTTTGACTACTGCATACGAGCTTGAGATGAGCCTCAATTGAAGAGGTGATCATACTGAAAGACAATGTCTCATCAATTACTTAAGAGGAATCGCTTTGCTGTCTGGAGTACTGAGGATCTGAGACGGAAGTTTCAGGCAGTCCAACATGCAGAGCTCCTCCACCTATCAAAGCCATGCAGCGTAAACGTTTCGGCTCCATCATTTGGGCTATATTAGAGATAAAAAGAAGCGTTTAAATGCTTCTGTGGCAACCTATGACCTCGCTGGTTCAACTGAACACATGAAATCGACTTCGGGACTGGCATGGATAAACTGACCGCAGGTGTCTACCCTTCAACGAGCAGCTGTGACGTAGGCTTCTAGCTTCTACCCATCACTGATCCTGGTAGCTGTCAAGTTGCTGTACAAAGCGCTGTCGTACCGACTTCAGCAAACCATACCCGACTTGATCCACCTGGATCAAAAGGTACTCGTCAAAGGTACCACCATACGCGGTCCTTGGCGCGTCTATCAGGTCGAGGCGAGGAATCGTATGTTCTGTTCTCGGACTTTAAAAATGGGTTTGATCGAGTAAATAGGTCTATATATTTCGAGTACTCGACAAATGGGTTAGCTTTATAGGGTTGTACAGCTGGTAAAACTGCTTGACACAAATCCACCAGCCCACCTTGTCACCAGCCAAACATCTAGCCAGCGTTGTACCCGACACGGTGAGCGAGACAAGGAGACCCGCTCTCTTTCTCCGTGCTCACCATTGAACCCCTTGGTAACCTTCAGCGATCCTATGATGAGTTTTGAGTGTGTCTCGATTAGGATCACACATCAACCGGTGCCTTTTTCGCAGAGAACAGAACTTTACAGGGAGGCTCCATCGCGAGTATTTGAGCTCACCTTGAACTAATAAAGGCGTACCGCAAGGGATTTCATGCGAATCTCGATCTAGCTAAGTCAAATATGATGTCGCTGAGTCAGGAGCGAACTCCAACTACAGCCCCCGGGAGACAATGTACTTGCTCGAGCCGAGTCGGTCAAGTTGCTTGGTATCTTCTTCAGTCACTTCCCAGTCAAAAAGCACATTGTCAATTTCTTAAGCAACACTTCTATCATGAGCTCAAGATGTGGTACTGTCATTCAAGGACTCTCTGCGGTCGGCTATTGGTGGTGCAGACAATACTCTTGTCTCGCCTGTGGCACTACACTGAATATGTGTCTATACCACCCACGGTCGTGATGAGGAGGCGGCCAATGCTGAAGCAAATTCTTCTTGAGTCAGAAACGCAACCGGGGTGTAATATATATTAAGCTCTTTTCTAAAGTTGTTTGTCCTTATTGAGGAGCGTAGGTGGACTGGGCATTCAAAGCATCGAATGTCAACCGAAAAGAAAGCTCGACTGAAAAAGCAACTACTCTAGTTATTACACCAATTCGTGCATTTTACAAGCAAACACTGTCGAACAAAGGTGGACAATACCAAGTGTATATCTTCCCACAGCGGTTCTATCGCGAGTGGGTCGACGACGCGGTGCTCAACTTTCTCATGGTGTCCCCACTTTGACATTGTACGATGGTCAAGCGGGAGTTGAGCTTCGCCTGGTGGGAGGTGACGAAGGTCTGGTGCTTCAAATTCGATGGCAGATCACCTGACACGTCCTCCCGACGGACAAGTGTGTCTTGTGTGGTCCTAATCAGTTCATTTGGTTTAATTCCGATTCAGCACTGCACTACGTGCGAACACCAAGGGCTCTCACAGTCAATGCTCACCGTCGCCGTCTTGAAATGTGTTCTGAGCACCAACGTGAATCTCGATTGCGCATCTCGAGGGTCTTCAGATTGCACCCGCTGGCGGACTTCATGAGATATAGTGCTTTGCAGCCGAGTGAGTCGGACTTTTTCCAAAGCCACTTGAACCTCACTCATCAGTATACTGAGTCATTGATGATGCCAAGTACGGATAAAAATTTGGTGCGTTTTGATAAAGACACTTGTAAAAGTGTCAAGATCTTGCTAAACGTTTTTGTGAGCTTTGAGAAACTGTACATTGTGTGGTATATTGGCAAATCCCGCAAAAATATGAAATTTACAGCACAACCAATGTATACACAAAAATCGAGAGTTTAAAGCGGCTTGACCTGACCAACCGTTTGCACAGGTAAAGACAAACTAGTGTCAAATTGTGTTGGGGTCGGCGGACATGGTATCCGTCATCACTATTTGAAATAGCCTTATCTGCGTTCCGATTCCGAATCCTCCAGAACCATGACGACCATTCTATATTATTTTTGACGCTTCAGCCTTTGCTACCGGCTCTACTATACTCCAAGTCGATGCCAATGTTCATGAATGCGTGATCGCGGTGAAGAATCACTTTTAAAGCGGCAGAGAAGAACTAATAAACCCACGACAACAAGGTATTTGCAATGAAATGCGCACTTGTGAAGTTATGGAACACAGCTCAGAGTCATTTGATATCTATTTAAGGCATATATTGTTCCGCAAAGCTATATTGTCAATAAATGTAAAAGTTAAAATGGCCAGATTGTAAACCGTCTTTCCCTTATACTTATACTCTTAAGACCTCTAAGGCATGGTGCAATCTAGATTTGGCTTAACATGGCAGTGAATTTTCTGTTGTTTCCCTCCCACCATGAAGTCTTGCATGTCCCGAAGGTGGCGACGCCAAATGCTGAGTCAATTTCAACAGCGTGTGGGATCATAGGCAACATGTGATGCACTATCAGAGGCTAAGGAAGTAACGTGGTATTTCTCTCAGATGCAGCTATATCGAAGCGCTTTTTAATTGCATGCTTGCATTGATACTTCATTTCGACAAACTTGCTGAATCACTGCGCTGTTAAATACGGTCAATAGTTTGGGGGGGTCAATAATATCAAACTACACGGTTTCTGAGCGACGGAAACACCCGCGATAGTGTCGAAGGTTATGTTGAGCCTATGAGTGACGTACGAGGACTTTGACAGTGTAAAATGTTGCATCGTCTTAGACCTGGATGTCTAGAAATCGAAGTACTACTCAAATCAAATTTTGGTGTGTCAAGATCCCGCCTCCAGTAGGAGGCCGATGCGCTTTTGCGCGGCCACGAAGCTGCAGTAACGTCAGTGTGCGCTGTGGAACCGTCCAAAAATGATAACATTGATATTTTTAGGTGCCTGAAGTAAATTTCAATGGTAGATGCGGCATTTAATCGCGGATACATGATAATGTAGAGAAAGTGATTGCATATCGCGGTCTTCAGAGTTTATACCTGCAAAGTTGGAATATGATTGCTTATCGTGTTTGCTTTTTGGGAACACTGGTGAGTCGATAAATTTCGGCAGTAGACAGGTGTATTTAGCACCCGGGCCGATGGAATCGTCGGGAGACTGCAAGTCACAATAGAGAAGGTATGTACAGAAGGATTACTCACCTCTATGCTACTGCTGAGTAGAAAAGAAGGTACTATAGAAATGATCCTGTATAAGTACGGTCTTCTATGCTACTACTGAGACAGCACTACCGTGGCATGTTATTGTTGTCGCAGCAATCACCGTTAGAGGTGAGGCGGGATCATCCGTTGCAGCTCGCTTCCTACTAGTGAGTAGAACTCATCGTGTTATGACTTTGAACCGGTCGGTTGATCTAGCAACTGCTTCATAAAACATTCAGGATTATAAAACAGAATTTTAGGGTGGTGGGTTGTGACTTCTACGTCTACGTTATGTTTTGTGCCTCGTACATCCAAGCATTAATTGACAATCTTTCCAAAAGTCCGTTTCACTAAAGATGGCTTACTAAGGTCGTGTTCGACTAATTCAGGGACCACAACTGAGAGCGCGTGGGGAGTAGCAAAATGCCAAACGGAAGTGCAAGTCATGAAATACGGGACGACGATTTGTTCAAAAAATATACCCGGTATCTTAAAAACGTGTAATCTTCATCTTTGTCGACGCTTCGCGAGTGCAAAGGAATCGGGTCGGATTTGTCGGATGACTTTGGCTATCACACCACTCGAAGAAGCGCTCTCCCTGAAAGCCTTAGACTAGACATATGTTCGAGCCATTCAGTAGCCCAGGAAAGGGAATGCGTGCTGCTGTGATATATCTTCTTTTGATACCCGAAGATCACCAAGCCTCAATGCAATCAGTGTCGTTACTTGATACAGGGAACGGAACCATTAATTTTGCATAGCAAGTTTTTGAAGGTTGAGCGTTACGTAATTGCATTACACTCGTGAGCCTATTAGGAATCTCACAGAATCGCACAGACTGGAACGTTACATTATTCACGTACAGCCCTAGGTTGTGGATCCCTTACTTTTCGGAGAAAACGGCTTCTCTAGCGGCTGAGTCCGATTGACTTCAAAATGGACAAGGTACGATCCAGTTGCTTCCCAATTATTCACCCTGCGCAGTTTACGACTTGTCCAGTCCACTAAAGGTTCGTCGAACGTCATTATATGGGAGCCCGGCTCTGCATACCTCTTTGTCGAGAGCGATAGGTAGATCACCTTATATTAATATAAGAGCCGAGAACGACGAGTAATTACTTGAAAGGCTTAAGATCCGAGAACAATGAGGGCATGCAAGGCGCAGATGTTTAAAACTTCCACAGGTGAAGCTTCTTCGACAACTACCGAGCCCTCGCCGGCTGAGAGATCTGACTCCTCCTCCTAGACATGGCTCAAGTTCATCCTTCGTAGCATAATCACAGAGTTTTCGTATTCAGTTTACTATCTGGCCTTCGCGACACAAACGTTATGCTCGACAATCAATGTACCCACCGAATCCTAAATGAGGCAGGTCGAGTGCGCACAATTTAAGTGTAAGCCGCGACCGTCTGGAAAATATCCATGAAAATGGCTACCATTGCTGCCTTTAGTTAGTATGTTTCGACATTGCCGCCCAATGGATTCTTCATTCCAGGACTTTGTCCATTGGTTAGCGGTGAGAGCGCCCGAGAAATCTGTTGGTTGAGTCTTCTCACGGTATATATGCCCATTCTACCGAAGTATTGCACACTGGAGCCCATTTTCACGCACGGCTTCTTTGCTTGGAGATCACAAGCACAACGCGCTGTGGTCTAATTTCATCCGTCCGTATTTATTATTCATTCAAATTCCGCATCCATATGGTCAGACATTTATTCTCAGTTCTCAATACTAAGACGCTGAAAAAAGGTTACCTCATGATGGGAGCCATCCTATTCTCACCGGCGTTCAGCCTGGATTTGTCTCACCAGTTCATCTATATAGGTGCTAATTGGCTTCGGGTAAGCAATAAGCACTTTTGGCCTTTCGTAGCCAATTTTCTTTTTCATCAAAGCTCATGAAAGTCATGTGTCCAGCAGTAGTGTTGCCGTGCACATCCTACAAAAAAAGACCGACACAATATTCCTGCT